ATTCTATTTTCTTTCTCTCTCTCTCTCTCTCTCTCTCTCTCTCTCTCTTCCTCTCTCTTCTTTTTTCCGTTGTTTTTAATCGAGATGATTACCGAAATTATATGAGAATAAAGTATATAGAAGTATATGCATATTTTTCTGCCCGTGCTGGGTGTTGATTCCATTCGCAAGAGTTCGGAGAAAAGAAGATGGGATGATCGCTATTCCTTCGAGTTTGATTTGAACAAAGCGAGCGATAATTAACAAAGCTGGAGTACGGCTTGCAGGGTAAAACATTAGCGAAATGTGCGATTTGTTGATAATGAGTTTTGTTATAAGATGTTGATGCGCGCAGGATCTTTGAACGTGAAAGATGATTAGACCGAGTATGCGAGATATAATATTTGCACATCGATAAATCGTATGGTGCAAACGTTAACGGTACAAGCAACAGGCATTCGAGGGGTACATAATTTGCATTGCTTACATCGAGTTTACTATTGAAGTTTCAACAATTAGTTTCAGTAAACAGTAAACTTTATATCGTCGCTATACTTTGCGGTAATGGCTTGGATATTGTTCCTTTTTTTATATTTTCTAATGCTCCATTAACACAAAATTCAATAGCAAAAAGCATATTAGAATTGATTTTTAGAATTGAATATTATTCAATTGAATATTATTGAAATTATATTAAAAAAAAACTTTATCTTAATTCTGTTATCAGAAATCCCATAGAATTATTTAAAGATTTGCCTACATATCTACGAGATGCGAACTTTCTCTACAAGAAAGAAAAGAGATTTATCTTTTAGCCATTTAGCGATTAGTTTATTACGCGGTGTTTGTTGTGTAAAACGTTCGTGCGTAATCTCAACGAGAAAAAAAATCATGTGTCATTAAAGTTTATCGCTAAAAATAACGCCATTTAGCAGAAATTGATGGAACGGTGCGATTGGGTTACGATTGTGTATGAATCTTGTTAATTATGTACATCTCTAATTGATAAATGAAAATGTGGATACTCTCGATTTCATGGACTTGGAAATATATCTGAACTTAGCGTATATCGCCAATTGAGACAAGGGGTGAGATTAGAGTCTGTGAGCAATTGCTTTTAATTCGATTTATACATGATTCATTTTGCAGTAGATTCTCTCCCCTGCTTGACGATTTCCAGAAAGAAGGGATTCCATTGTATTCGCGCGCTTTGCTCGGTTAGAAGAGATCACGATATGATCATATTTATATTTACCGCGCGATAACGCAATAAAGTGAGAATGCCGTCGTGCATTTGATAATAAAAAAATATAGTACGCGCGCGCGCGCGCATACACATTTTCATTTTATACATATGCCATTAGAATAAACATGGGGAAGAAACATTAAAAACTAGAAGAATAAAGAAGTTTGTGAAGATTTGTCTCCAACTAAAGCCATCGTGTAACGTTAAATGATCTATTAGAATTTTGAAAATATCAAGTTGATATCAAGTTAAATCGAAAAAAAGAAATAAAAATATTCCTTCTGTTTCTAATTATTATTAATCTCTGGTTTCCCTTGGAAAAGCCTACGTCCAGATAAATTTTTAGTCCACAATCGATACCGATTGGGAAAAGAGAAAGTTAAACAACTACGGCCTTAGACCTAATCGTGTATATAAACGGAAGGAAGCAAAAACAACTTTTGCCTGAGAGAGATAGTTGAGTGTGTGGCATCGTTAAACAGATTTTATATTAAAGAGATTTAAAAAAAGACGAAAAACATCAAAATAAAATCAATACGTTAAAAACCAATTTGCGCACGCGTTTCTATTTTACCTCCTTTTCTTTTTATATTTGACGCGCGCGCGCGCGCGCGCACACACACACACACAC